AAAAAAGCAGACCTTACCGCCAGCTCACCCATTTCCCATCATTGTCAGAATCTCGGCTTCAACAATGAGTCTCAACAAGCTGATGCTGTTGGCTTGGACGATGACCTCTTTCGACATTTCCTTGAGCTGGGTGGTCTTGCAGAACATGTGAGAACGGAAGATGATAGGAAGCTCGTGCTGAACTTCATCAGGGAGAATGTTGGAATGCAGAAGGTGAGCAACTCAATGCAATCAATTTCTATTTGACATTCCTAAAGAAGTCAGTCACGGGATTAGCAATGTGTACAATAATAGGCATGTGGCTGTTCACTAGTATGAGAAATATTGTCAAACCACTTTTTACTCAAATTCACTTGCATTTTCTTTGGTAAGTGCCTCGTGATCTGCTCTTCCCACTTTTCCTTCGATATGTTTTTGGCATCTGGTTTACTCCCTAAGACCATCGACCATACACTTCCATGATGGAGTGGAGCTGTTATATTCCGTTGGCAAATATCCAAACTGCCATTGTTGCGTGGCTGCGCTTTCGATGTCGTAGCCTTGACGTCGCATCTATTACATTTTCTATTTTGGAACTGTGCAGTTGCCACTGGTTTAATAAATGTAGATTTAGTAAAGTGTTTCCAAAGACCAGGTTTGATTCTGATGGTAGAGTTCGAATACGAGTGATTTTAATTTGTGGTAAAAGATACTAGTTTATTGGTTATAGTAAGAGTAGAAAGAGGGTCTTCCGGTGCATGCCATTTAATATTTCCGCACAAGAGTTAAATCAATTTGTAGCACTCCGTGGCATTTTGACAGACAGATTGCCGTTTGGATAAATAAATACATCCACTTGTGTGTTTCCCTTTTGCATTTCATAAGAGATTCATTGTACTCTTATAATTTCTCAATTGTAAAATAACTCTATCACTACAAGGGAGTTGTGCAAGAACAGTAATTGACGCAGTGTTTGTGTCATCAAATTGGTGTTGTATATGTGAAAGTTGATTTTCAATGTAGCCAAAATGCAGCTTTGAATGGAGGAGCTATTTAACATTGTGGAAATGATTCACCATGTAGAGAACCACTTTCGTATATTTTGCATGCAAACTGCTGAACACGTGATCCATTTGCCGACTCTATCACCATCGGGGAACCGCACTGTATAACGCCAATACCATTATCTGATCTTAGCTTGTAGAGGCCATGAGGAGGGAAAAGCAAGAACGTGCTCCGTCAAAACCATCAAAAACAAATCACATGGAGAAAATCACTGCACCGGTGAGGGTGGCGCACAATTCTCCACAAGAACCCGATGTAGCCCCTGCACCTCTCCACACTTTCATTCCAGCACATCACAACTTTCCCCCTCCACCATTACCACCGCCAGACCCCGTGCCCCAAAGCGTGGTTGGTGGTGGTGGTGGTGGTGGTGGTGGTGGTGGTGGTGGTGGTGGTGGTGGTTTGGCCCTTTCTCCACCTCCACAACCATCGTCACCTTCATCAACTGATCCTCCCTCTTCTAGCCAAATAATTGTTTCCGCTCGTGGTGATGGCAGTGATGGTGGTGGCTCAAAACCCATCGCCACCCATCTCTTCTTGGATGACATCAAGGCTTTTGATCGGAAAACACTCAGAAAAGTGAGTTATTTGACTCATTGTGATTTGCGGCATGAATGGCCATAAGTCCTTCTGGTGTAGCGGGTTAACCTTACCATATCTCTCCTAATTTACAAACGCTAGTGGTAAGACCTTGAGCATGGCTAGGTTGAAACGCCCTTGAATAACCTTAAATTGCCACTTGAATGGCTGAGGAGTTGCATAGAAGGCATCATTGAATTCCACAATATGTCTTCACCTTCATCATGATGGGACATTGTTCGATTTACCATTGCATTGAATCCTGGTCAAGTAAATTCGCTGTGCAAGTGCTTTGGAATGGAGCATGACAAATGACTGCGACAAAGTTTGACAACTATTGAGTGTCTACAAATCTGCGGCTGATTTTCTCCTCAAGAAATTCATCAAAACCGTCACTTCAAGGCACACATTGACACAAATACTCACTCCTCCGTTTTTACAAAAAGAAATGAAATATGCAAAGGATTTTTTGATAATATGGCGAGATGACTCCCTGCCGAAAATTTCGCCTGACATGCTAATCACGTCACTGTTAGATGGCGGGATGGCAGACAGGGAAAGCAGGTATCATGATCTCTGGCTGTATAGTCGCAAAATCGGAAGTTTAGACAACTATGAGATGTGCTTCAGGAACACGGCTCAGTAGCACTTTATAAACTGGTTGACGAAGTTGTCCAGGAAACGCCAGTTGGATGTCAGCTACAGAGATTCCTTGAGCTTACCTGACAACTATTGGCCAGCAACTCATCCAGCCATGGATAAATCTGTTGGTGGAAGGGAGCACGATGATGGAATTGTAGTCGGATGGTGTATAAGGAGATTCTAGGACTCGATGCCTTGCCGCGTTTGCAAGTTATAAGCTGACCGACAGGCTAGGTGTGTGTGTGTGTGTGTGTGCGTGGGTACAGACGTAGATCCTCATAGTTCAGGCTTAATCATGTAAGCGCCCGACTCCTTTTATGCGTCGGGATCAGTTTGCACGTTAACTAAACAAGCCCAAGTCGTCATTTGGACAAATTGTTTATTATTTGGTATTTTCTGCTGGTAGTCATTACATGTGCAATGCAGAACAGATGACAACCACTATTTCAAGGAAGGATTTTTGGAACATGTAATTGGTTGCAGTGTACTCAGACATTTCAGTGCTTGGCCTTATGTGGCTAGTTAATGAAGTGTGGTGAGAAAGGAAAGAGAAAGTTCCGTTGTAGGTTTCTGCAACCATCGATAAAAATTGCAGGCTTTATGCTCGTCAAATTGGCAGCTCAAGCAAAACGAACCAGGAATTTTTAGTAAAATTGTAAATACAGCTGTGTATTAGAAGTGGTCCGATGTTTTGGTACTGCGGGTTGGTGCATCGCTGCCAGTGCTAACGCCTATGGCTACATTTTTGACTCGATATTTTTAATGGATGCAATTGAGGCAGTCGTCAAACCGGGGTATGGAATCGTCAATCAGCCTGAAGTGACCTGTGCTGCTTGTTCCAGATTGAGATAAGGAAGGCCCCAGCGAGATGTTTTTTAAAGGACAATACTGCCGTTGGCGAAAAACTGAAGGTCTCCATGAATGATGCGTTGAGCAAAATACTTATGCGACGACGTCAGCGTCTCACGTGTGAGGAGAGCGAGGAGTCCAATTTCGCTTAAAAGCATCTACCACCTCTTCGTTCCACCTACTCATCCCTCTCCTCACTTCCACTCATTGTGACCTCTCTTTCACGCGCCCTCCTCTACCTTAAAGCCGAAAAGAACCATCATTCCTTTGTACAATTTGCCTACTTCAATAGAGGGTTTCTGATTTGGCCAGTTGTATTCACTTTTCAAATAAATACAGCCCTTAGGCCAGCAAGTGGGTGAGTTTGTTTAGTTGAAGTCAACTACCGATGCTTTCGCTTTCACCTTTTGCCTTCTGTCTTAGTGGCTGGCAAGAGCGATGCAGAAATTTAACTGCCCGACAATGCTTCATTAATTTGCACCCTTACTTTAGGACTGCAGGGCTCGTTTCATTGAACCGAGGGCGCCAATTGCAATTTTTCCCATGCTGATGCATTTAACAAAAATCGTCGCAAATTCTGGACATTTAATTCAGTGTAATTTGAGGGCATTGGCTACTTTTGTGTGTTCTATTCAATCAAAGGGCAGAGGTGCAATTTCCTGCAATGCGAATGAAAAAACATGCTTATTTAAAGTGTCGTTCAAGTTCAAGTAAGGTAAATTGCACACACTTACCTGAGGTAACTTGTTATTTGACACATTGTTTCTCAAAACAGTTTGGCTCTAAGCCATAGTGGTGAAGTTGACGTAATTCCACGGTGGCGCCAGATGTCACTTTGTGATGACGACCTACAAAAATAGTGGTCTGAATCTTCCACCCTTCAGAATGTAAATGAGATCCCTACGTACTTTCTCACAAACCACTTGAAACGAGACCTTACCCGAGTAGTACCAAAGTGGATTAATTTCATCCCTTAGCTGCAATTTCATCTTCAACACATCGTTCATTCCTAGTGGATGATTGCGTCTGCAGTGCACCCCACACATCCACAAGTATTGTCTTGCTTTGTGGAACTAGGCGGTACCGACTTCAGAAGTGGAAGTTGGGTGGTGGAGTGGATTTAGTCTCTTTATCCCATTCGCCTCGATTTTCAATGCCAAAGTCACTTTGCATCACGCATTGTTTAACTAATTATTTGCTCTATTGGTCAGGCAGGCGGACGGAAATTTGGCGATGTGAATTGCATGCCAAGAACTATGGCGTTAAGGGCGTACGTAAATGACGCAAAAGGTCATTCACATTAGATGTCAGATTCAGAGGTTTGTCTTGCCTTATCTGTTGATGCATGGCATGCAGCATTCATTTCACCTGTTGGGCTACACCACAACTACTTGTCTCTTCACTTAAAACGTTAAGCACCCTTGACAGTTGTTCTTGTAACAATAGTCCCTAAACCTTTTAGTCAGTCGCTACACCTACTTGCTCATTGTTACCGGGAGGAGGGGTCTCCCTTAAACCAAAGATGCAGAATTTTTAATTAAGTAGTTCAACACTGCCACATTCAAATCTCTTGTCACCTTCTCCGAACGCTAGATAGCGCATAGAAGAGAATCATCTGGTTAAGAAAAGGAACGGAGATAAGCCCGATTTGTAAAGTGGAAGTGCTCGAATGGTATTATGTCCAATGGGTATTTCATGAAGTCTCATAGTAAAAGACTAATAGCAGAGCACAAAATAGAGGTTATTCTGCCAAAAATTGGTGCGCATCTTTGTCTAAAAGCTACAACGCGTGATTGCGGTGTAAAACACTGAGAACCAAGTAATTTCTCATTTTCTGTGTTAAAGCTCGGATGTCGAGAGCTCTGGAAGTCGTGAGCCATGCTGATGCTATTTGTCATGATATGCTTATTCGATGAAGTACGGGAAAATAGAAGCGGTAGTTGTAAAAGTGATAGGTGGACAACCTGATTCCGTGGAAACACAGCGATTGATATGGGTGAGCGACAAAAACGGGTCACGTTGCAAGTCTTTGTCCGGTGGAATTAGACGCTTCCATTGGCTTTAAACTGTGCACACACACTACAGCAGACGTTTGAGGACCACAAATATACGCATCTGCCTCATCAAATTCAAGCCTTTATTGTCACACATGGATCCATTTAATATTGAGAATTCAATATGTGCACTGCACGAGAGGCATTCTGCACAGAAGCTCCAAAGGGGGCGGCTTCCAGCACTTGAGAGGCTACTTAAAGCTATAAACTGAAAATCGCACAAGATAGTACATAGTTGTGAGGTAATGAGAGGTGTGCCACGTCAATTAAATAATCGCCTGATCACGATGGCATTAAATGGGAATGGAAGAGGTGGGAAGAGGTGGAAATGTAATTGGCTATTTCACAAAAGGCTTCATAAAGAGGTGTGATTCGAAAGACGTGCTAATAAGCATGATTGAGTGTATTACGAGTTAAATTTTGGGAGGAATGGTGAGGGCTGAATGAACACACGCTTTTCTTCACAGGTGAAATAGGCCGAATTTCGGCCTGACGATGTCAAGCATGCACAATAATGCGTATCGACAGAGGGCTTAAAACCGGGGTAAAAGAAGGTGTAGAAGTGCAGAAGGACTAAGAGGGAAACGGTCCGTTGTGTGAAAAATGTAATGCAGTTGTGATGTATGCGCCTTCCCTCACCAATCTCTGGTCAAATTTTTGTGGAATCGCAAATTACTCACACAACCTCTAACAGCGCATGTGGCTTCCACGTACGAATAAAAATTAGCTTCCCACCTACGAAAATTTCAAACAATACCATGTCAATGGATCATCCCAGACTATGAAGAGGAGAAAATGTGGTTACCCAATTTCAGCATCACAAAGAATCAAGT